CCCATAGGACGAGACACCGCACGTTTGTCTGAAAAGGAAGTAGACAGCCATAGGCTTTAGACGATGTTCACTAGCAAATTCGTTTTGTTTTGAAGTTTGAATTTGACAGTTTAAGTTTGTTTTGGGTTTTAGAATGCGTCTTTACGTATCTCAGCTACTAGATCGTGTTTAGGTAACCATTTTTGGTTTTGTTCATTTCATTGGGCGTTGTACGTTTTCTAAGGTAAGCATTGTGCGATTGCACAAACGACACGCATAGGAGCCTGCGTCATGGTAAATACGTGTAAATGAGCAGGGGCGACATTATGAACTAAGCACGACTGAGCGCAGAGACGCAAAGATATTCCTAGCGAGTTTTTCAGGGTTCATGTGAAAGTTTCTTTTGTTGTTTTAATGTTTTCTTCTCATGTGTCCGGTGTGGATATCAGTATGGAAAGTTAGTTTGAGAGTTAATGTGTGGCTTTTATAAAGATGGTAACCGCCAGGCAGAATTAGTAGTTCATCCAAGCAGGTGCAGCATGACAGTTGTCTCTTCGTCAGCTCTGGGCGAACTGACGACTAGCTTTGGCGGCACAAAATTTTGGGAACTAAAAAATAGCGTGAAGCAAAAGGCTTTATTTTAGGAGTATGAGGCCTGGTGGGTTACAGCGGATTGCTCACGCTAGCACACAGATATGCCACGGGGAGCGCCTCATTTGGCAGTTAATTTTCTTGGAAGCAGTCTAGTGGGAAGATAATTCTCGCATCAGGATTGGGAGTTTTGGCGAAAGCTCAGAGAAACGTTCCAATTGCTGCTTCGTGTTTGGTAATACTACTTAAGGAAAGTTGTTTTGGAGAATATTTAGGACTCGATGTGTCTCAGTGCGGGCAGGGCGCTCTCCCGTGTCTGTGGTGGTGTGTATCAATGCTTTTCCCAGAAGAGAGCCACAAGGAATGAGCGGGAAAGAGTCCTTGGCTGGGCGTTATCGACAGTGGCTGGAAGACGTCACCACACTACGACACTTCGGGCAACCTGTGCAGCTGGTCACCCTAATGTCAAATCTCCCGCCGGCGGACGAGCTGTTGTGACTGGAGCCCGAGCTGACAAGGGAGCGGCGCTTTTTGGATCTTCAAACAAGTAGCCGACCGGCCGGCTGCCTATGACCGCCAGGCATTGTCTTTCCTAGCCAGAGGGTGAGACGTCGTGTCGCCACGACGCCGTAAGCTATTAGAGAGCGAACAACAAATACAACATTTTTCTTGGAAGAGACTGCGGCGGGTGCCGTGAATCGCCCCTCTAATCAAGCGAGCTGTTCGGCGGACCCTTTGAAGTATTCTGTCTCGAGCTTGGGACCCCTCGACCAGCGGCACACACACGACGAGGAAGAGCCCCGCTGGTGCCACCTTCGAAAACAGTAATCACGCCTCAATATTGGGCGTTCACGTGGGTCGTGCATGTTCGTCCCCCTCACCAGTTGTGTGTTATCTGTGATTGGACACTAACCTATGCACGTGTTCCCTGATCTAGGGATCTGGCAAGAACATACCCTTTATAATGAGCCACCCGGCTCATTTGAAGGAGCACCATGTAGAGGAACGCCAGATTCGAGAGCTCGCCATGTAAGAAAGAGCTCGTCATGTACGAGAGCTCACTATGTACATAATGTAAATAAACCCTCTTCAAGTCTCTCTTCGTCCTGCCTCGACAACTTCATCCCCGACCTCCGGTGCCAGCAAACCGCGGTCACAACAGGATGGCCAGAGTGGACGGCGGAGGCTGCAGTGGGCTGGCGGTGTTGGACGAATTGGGATTGTCTTGAACTGCCATTGCAGGTGATAGTAGACGACGACCCGAGCGAAGCTTCAGTGATAACATGCGAGAGGACTTGGAGAATGAGAAGCTTTATTCAAGATGAGCTCGAGCTGGCTCACACTGATGATAGTATTGTCACGGGGTCGTGACGTGGCCGAAGACAAGAGACTTCGTGTTGAGATTTAACTGTTTATTTGGGCGAACCTGTGCCCAGTAAACGGAAAGTCCGATTACAGCAGCAGTCTTGCACAGATAGCAGTCTCGGACTGATAGCGGCGAACGGAGCGTCGGCCTTCGTTCAACAACTGACAAGCGGCGAAGCGCCTCTGCATTTATACTCTTGCCATCGAATGTTCTAGCGTTATCGCTAGCGGTGGCGTAGGTTCCAGGACAATCTGTACCGTTCGCACAGTGGGCGTGATCTTATCGAAAATCTCTACTACAGTCCGGAACCTTCTCGAAAACTGCAGGCGCGGTTTGCGCTGAGAATCGTGTGGTGTTTTGGGACTATAACGAAAACTTGGGAAATGGAACGTGGCATTGCCCCCCTCTGAAAAAAGGCATCGTCCCGATGCTTTAACTAAAGATAAAGGTACAATAATAATGCAAGAAAGTACAATGAATAAATTACGATGAAACAATAATAAAAAAACACTGTTTCAGTTTGTTAACGCGCATGAAACGGCTTGAGGCGCGCGACATGCACGACTTCAGGTCGCGATCGGCGTCGTTGAGAGTTCGTGATGCCGTCGGGGACAACCTCGTAATCAAGTGGGCCGAGACGTCGAACCACCCTGTACGGTCCGAAGTAGCGTCGCAGAAGCTTTTCACTTAGTTCACGTCGGCGTATTGGCGTCCACACCCAAACACGTTCACCGGGCTGGTATTCCACGAAGCGTCGTCGAAGGTTGTAACGGTGGCTGTCTGTCTGTTGATTCTTGATACGGAGACGCGCAAGTTGTCGGGCTTCTTCGGCACGTTGAAGGTACTCGCTCACATCGAGGCTTTCTTCGTCGGTGACGTTGGGTAACATGGCATCAAGCATCGTTGCCGGGCTCCTTCCGTAGACCAATTTGTATGGAGATATCTGCGTCGTCTCCTGCACCGCCGTGTTGTATGCGAAGGTCACATACAGAAAAATGGTGTCCCACGTCTTGTGTTCGACATCGACGTACATTGACAGCATGTCGGCGATCGTCTCGTTAAGCCGCTCGGTGAGGCCCTTGGTCTGTGGGTGGTACGCTGTCGTCCGGCGGTGGTATGTTTGGCTGTATGCCAAGATCGCTTGAGTTAAGTCGGCAGTGAGTGCCGTTCCTTTGTCGGTGATAAGGACCTCCAAGGCGCCGTGACGTAGGACGATATTTTCGATGAAGAACTTAGCTACCTCGGATGCACTGCCTTTTGGCAGGGCTTTTGTCTCGGCCTAGCGGGTGAGGTAGTCGGTAGCTACCATGATCCACTTGTTTCCGAAAGCCGACGTCGGGAACGGCCCTAGTAGGTCCATACCAATCTGCTGGAAAGGTCGGCAAGGTGGATCAATTGGCTGCAGAAGTCCCGCTGGCCTTGTCGGCGGTGTCTTGCGTCGCTGACAGTCCCGGCATGTCCTCACATAACGAGTGACATCGGTGGTAAGATGTGGCCAGTAGTACCTTTCTTGTATCCTCGCGAGCGTGCGAGAAACACCGAGGTGCCCTGCCGTCGGATCGTCGTGCAGGGCCTGCAGGAGTTCTGGTCGCAGAGCTGAAGGCACCACAAGGAGGTACTTAGCTCGAAGCGGTGAAAAGTTTTTCTTTTGTAGAAGACCGTTTCGTAGGAAGAACGACGCAAGTGCGCGCTTGAATACCTTCGGGACTTCGGCGGTCCTGCCTTCGAGGTATTCTATTAGGGCCTTAAGTTCCGGGTCGGCCTGCTGTCGTTCAGCGAAGTCGTCTGTAGTTATCGTTCGTAAGAAGTAGTCGTCATCCGGGTCGTCGGGTAGCGGTTGGTCGACAGGCGCACGAGAGAGACAGTCGGCGTCGGAGTGTTTTTTGCCGTGCTTGTAAATGACAGTAATGTCATATTCTTGAAGTCTCAGGCTCCATCGTGCGAGGCGACCTGAAGGGTCCTTCAAGGTGGCTAGCCAACACAAGGCGTGGTGGTCGCTCACAACTTTGAAGGGCCTGCCGTAGAGGTAGGGGTGAAATTTCGACGTTGCCCACTCGACGTAGCCCACGACCCCGCACCTCCACCAGATGTCACGGGGTCGTGACGTGGCCGAAGACAGGAGACTTCGTGTTGGGATTTAACTGTTTATTTGGGCGAACCTGTGCCCAGTAAACGGAAAGTCCGATTACAGCAGCAGTCTTGCACAGATAGCAGTCTCGGACTGATAGTGGCAAACGGAGCGTCGGCCTTCGTTCAACAACTGACAAGCGGCGAAGTGCGTCGGCATTTATACTCTTGCCATCGAATGTTCTAGCGTTATCGCTAGCGGTGGCGTAGGTTCCAGAACAACCTGTACCGTTCGCACAGTGGGCGTGATCTTATCGAAATGATCTACTACAGTCCGGAACCTTCTCGAAAACTGCAGGCGCGGTTTGCGCTGAGAATCGTGTGGTGTTTTGGGACGATAACGAAAACTTGGGAAATGGAACGTGGCAGTGTCTACAGTAAGGAAGTTATACAAATGATGATAGCACATCCAATTGATAAAGAAGAGTCAGTGACTGCACTCACAATATGTGCATGGTGTAAGATAGGTTATAGTGTTTGTAAGATAGATTAGCTTTCTAAGATAGCTCATAAATCAGGATACTACATCTGTACCACGAACAAATGACCTACCGAAAATGGCGCAAGAACGATGAGAAATGACGTTTGTTGACACATTTCCTTCCCTGTATCTTAATATGGAAGGTTGTGGTAGTCTCTCTTTTGATCCTGCTATTTGCAATTAACTTGATGTTTTAGGAAGGCTATGGCTAATGGTAAAATTTTACAGATTGTGCACATAACATTTTCAATGCCTATTCACATTCACCTCCTGCAGCTCAAGTCTGGGCTTCATGCACTTGGGAGGCTGTGACCTGCTTTTAAGTGTGACATCAGTATATAGGAGAACACATATATAGAAGCTGTTGAGAGACAGACCTGTATTGTAGCCTTGCAACACTTTTCTGTAGGACTATGATGCAAAGGTTTCGTTGTTATTCACGTACCCTATCTGCAGGAGAGCTATGTGCAACTCTCACTGCACAATCCGACGCCACACGTGACTCATGTGACGCTACTGCCAGTTGAACGTCCTGTCGAAGGGACCACTGCCAAGGTAGGAGTGAGCTCTGCTGCATCTTGCTGAAGGGGGCAAGCTGTTTCTTAAAATGAGAAATTGCAAAAAAAAAGATCATTCTGTTAAACATGTTTATTTTTTATGTAATTTTTATTCTACCGTTACTGGTGCATAACCTCGCCAATTTACTTACATCTCAGATCTTTAGCTATAACAGCATTTTGTATCACATTAGCATACAATGCAGTTACGCTTTTTGTGGTATTTTCTCATTTTTTAAAAACCTTTCAGTCGTTTTACATGCTTTTTTCAGTAATGTCATGCTTAATTTTGATAATTTTCAATGGGCTGAAAAGCTGAATGTCTAGTATGCGCAACAGGGTGTGAAGTGTTTCTTTGCCGGGAAGTTATAGATTTTTAAATGCAATCATGCCAGGAGCAGACAAAAGTTACGTTGTCATGACAACCCTAATTTTCTCATCATTTGCATCAATGGGTAAAAGATCCATTGGCAAAAAAGAAGAAGTTTGTGGGGAACATGTGGCAGGAGCACTTAACTGGAAAAGCAACGGAAACAAATGAAAGAAAACAACTGCACCATTCTTTTGACAAATTGTCAGCACTGATAAGTTGGGTATATTTCGTTTAACCACTTAAAACTGAAAATTGCAATGCCAATGAAGATGGAAGAGCTACACTAATAAATTTTCTTCTCGAGTAATGAACACAGGATTGATGGGACATTTTGATGAGCAACTTTGTGGGCTCTTTGTAAGGTGTAGCGTGGCACAATATGTTCTTTGCGTTATGTATTGTCTTGGTGGAGTTGTTATACGAAGGTGAGCTTTGATTTGAGGGTATTCTTGTTTTCTGTACTAATGGTATCTATAAAGCACCCAGTCATTAATGGAATGTCGTTGAAAGGGTAGTTAGTTGGTTGTACCGAACTTGTCTAGTTCGCCTCTTATGTGCCTATGGTCAGCTTTATTACAATGTAGGATAACCTTCGCTTTTTAAGTTTAGAAACTTGTGCTCACTAGGTGAAGTGTTTAGTGACTGATGGCTAGCATGAATGGTGTGGAAGGAAGAAAGTTGGCATGTGTAAGCGCCAGATTCGAGATGTTAGCAGTGGTTGCTGCTGCATGTGTGGGCTCGTGTGCAAGTTGTACACAGTTACAGCTGTTACAAATGCTTAGGTAATCAATGTATTGAGAGGTGTTCTACGTCGGAGTTATTATTCCATACTACTTGTACTATATTTCCATAACATAGAAGGAGGATGATGTAGTTAACTTTCTATAGCAACAACAAAAAACATTCTCAACAAGCAATAAAAGCCTGTAACAAGTTGCAGTGCTGACTAAATAGAACTGGCATTTTAAATAAGGGTATTAAAAACTGTAATCAGGATGCATATTGCCAGGCATGTGTCGCAATCATAGCAATAAAATCTTTAGTATATTGGTCGTTGACCGAAACATGTTTTTCCCAGGTACTTCTGCCAAATTGTGAGTTTGTCCTGCCTGCCAGGGATGACACGGCAGAGTTCGACGATGCTAGTGACAGCACTTTCTCAGATGACCCGAGGTTTGTCCCTTCCACAGTCATGCACTATTAGTCCATAATTTTGACACCATGATGTAAGACACGCCTCTATTTCTTTTCTTTGTTCAGAGTTGCCCTGCTGAAATTCTGGTTCAGTTAGATGAAGCAACCAAATGAAGGAAAGTGCTGTTCATGTTGGCAGACTTCTTTATTGAAAGACGGAAATTAAGATACGTATGCACTGTTTGGTATACTACTATAGACAAACTTCCGAACTCGTAAAAATTTAGCTCTTTCAGCTCGCTTCATCTTGTGTAACTACACTCACACTGCGTGTGTGTCTGCTGTGAATACCAATCTCTCACCAGTATCACTTTCTTCTTGTAAAATTGCTCATCCGGTTCTTTTTCACAAACTGAACCAACATCCAACATTTCAAAACGAACTTATTTTTCAGCCTCAAGACATGCCATAATGAATCGAACACCGTTACAAGGCTGGCCTCGAAATGTGTCACACAAGAACCTCTTTACAGTCATTTATTTTTCTATCAACCACTGATTTAGGACATCATTTATTAATACATACGTGTTGGTAAACGTAGTGCCTTTGTTATCACTTGCCTCTGAACATGTTGTACACCTTTAACCCTTTCGCTACGAACCCATAGGCCATCGGACACGGAGTTTCGATGATTTCAAATCTCCCGCAAAAATTGAAAACTCGCGTTTTACGGACTTGTAGCGCCATCTAGCCTAAGCCTGGGCAACTCACTTTTCATTTTCACCTTTCTTGGTTTACATTTCGCCCGCTGAGCCGCGCCCTCGTGTGCAGTTTGAATGGAATCCAGTTTTGTTTTACGTGAGAATGGCCGTCACTGCCCGTCGCCCGCTGCGACAGCCGATTGCTGTTGCAAGCACTTCGGCCGCTTCTACCGACGATTTTTTTTATCCGAGTAGTGCAGACGACTCGCGTGACAATTTTGAAGTTTCAGAGTCGAGTTCCGACGATGACACTTCAGACCAGACGCCTCAGACTTCCACAAGTACTACCAAGTAAGTATCGTTTTTGAGTTCGCACTGCTTATGAAGGAAAAACGCACTTGATATTTGACGATAATGGTATCCTTTCCTTGCTTAGGGTCTCAACAACGTACGGCAAGGATGTTTTGCCAAATCCAGCACGCCGTATGAAGTTTTCACCCGTAAGACAGCCTGGTGCCCATCTTGCAGCAGCGCTACGGAGTGACGTGCGTCGCTCCTCAAGGGCGCTTGATTTTTTTCTTTTGTTTTTCACAACGGAAGTGCTCCAGTCGTTATGTGACAACACTAACAAGTACGCCTGGATGCATATTTTGGACCGGCAAACCTACGCTCGCCGGGACGGCTCCTGGGAAGAGGTAATGCCACTGGAGATGCTGAGGTTTATCGGACTTATCATCTACATGGGGGTTGTTGATGTACCACGGCTCCACATGTACTGGCGGACGACGGGGATATTTTCAAGCCTTCTCCCACCAAATATTATGAGACGGGACCGATTCTTTGCACTTTTAGCTTTCCTGAGCGTAGGAGACCCGGAAGATCTTGCGGCTAGAGCATCTGATGGGAAAACTTGGAGGGTGTCATGGCTCCTGCGACACATAAATCTGCAGTCACAAAATTTGTTTCAACCACAGCGCAACCTTGCCGTGGATGAACGCATGGTAAAATCAAAAGCGAGGTCAGGAATCAGGCAGTACATTCGGGACAAAGTGACGAAATTTGGATATAAGGTGTGGGTGCTGGCGGATTCGAATACCGGCTATACAATAAATTTTTTTGTGTACACTGGAAAACGCGAGGTACCTGGACCCCATGGATTAGCATTTGACGTTATGACTCAGCTATGCACAGAGTATCTTCATCAGGGATATAAAATTTTTATGAATAACTTTTATACGTCGGCAAAATTATTCGAACACCTCCTTGAGCACAAGACGCTTGCCTGTGGGACCACTCGCAAAGATTGTCGGGGCTTCCCAAAAGAATTGAAGGATGCTACGTGGGAAAGAAGGGCGCAGCGTGGGGACGTTCGCTGGATTCGGGAAGGCAACATCCTTTTCATGGAATGGAAGGATCGACGTTCTGTGTGTCTGATGAGCACGATGCACACAGCAAATAAACATGTTGCTGCTAAAAGGAGAGAGAAAAGGGGGGGCCAGTGGGTTGTGAATACCATAAAGAAGCCCCTCCTTGTTCATGGGTATAACACCGGAATGCTCGGCGTGGACAAGTCTGACCAAATAATTGCCACGTACAACGTACTCAGAAAGTGTGTACGTTGGTGGAAAACATTGTTTTTTCATGCTGTGGACATTGCGTGCCTAAATAGTTTTATTTTATTTCAGGAGCACCAAAAAGAGAATCCAAATGTCGAAGAACTATTCAGAAACAGGAACTTTGACCAATTGGCGTTCAGAGAAGAATTGATTCACCAGATATTTCAATACGATGAAGTTTCTCATGAACACGCCCCTTTCTCACCCCCCTTCTTCCCTCTAAATCCTGTTCGGCACCAGCCGAAAAGAATGGGAAAGAGAAGCAACTGCAAGCTTTGCTACGAAAAAACGAAAACACAAAACAGAACGAACGTATTCTGCTCGACCTGAAATATTTATCTTTGCTTCCTGCCTTCACGAAACTGTTTTGCCGAGTGGCACAGTCGTCGGGGCCAGTAGGTTGATGGGCCGAAAAAAATTGTTGATATGCTGCAGTGAATTTGTGTTTATCTAGAATGATAGCTAAGAGAACTAGTAATAATTTGTCTATTTCAGATTTCTCAAAATATTTTTTTGCTCTCTACATTCACTAACTTGTGAAGTGCTTGTATAACTTTTTGTATGTTTCTTGTTATTTAACAATTAAATTTACCAATTTTATAAGTTTCATACCAAAGTGTTTTATATGTATAAAAGGCCAAATCAATAAGCTACCATTTCATATATTACAATGCTACATGTTCCTTTTTTGTCAAGAGTAATAAAATTTTTTGTGAAAGCACGAAATAAGTGCCGTTTTTCCGCCATAGCGAAAGAGTTAAAAGGACCCTAAAACAGTTTTTGAACGTTTTGTGAGCGTTGTAGTGACCCCGCTACTCACCGTAGCAGAAGATCACCGCGGGTTCAGGCTTAGTGAGCCACAGGGCCGTGTCTCCGTCACCTACTCACGTGTAGCGCTCCGCTTAGCGTGCGCTCACCTAACAAAGCGTTTAGCGCGGCGCGGCAAAACAGACAGTGTTCAATTAACAGCAATACACAAATACTTTATTGCCTTTGGCGGCACCCCCCAAGCAACAGTACAACATTTGCTCCCGAGATGCGGGGAGCAAAGCACGTTCACGATAAAGGGAAGATTGCGAGCAGGTCGCAGCTGGCAATGGTGAGCTTTGACACACTGGTCAAAGGTCCCTCGCGGCTATGCTGCACACTTTCACGATGACCACTGGGCCTGGTCGTGATAGTTAGGGCAAAACTCGTACGCGTAGGCCTACGGAAAGTGCGGCTTGGTGTGGTACGACCACTTCAAGCACTAGGCATCGCTGTTTGGCTTAGCGTACGGTATTGAAGCTAACACTCAGGTAAACACGCTCGCCGAGGATGCCTAGGCACCCAGGCAGGCAACAGCTCGGCGATTCCCGAAGGGGACGCGTACAAAGGAAAACCATGTGCTTACTGGGCGCTGGTCAACGGAGAAGAGACCCTTTTCAGCGCGCACGTGACTCTGCCTCGTCGATTCTTACAACCTCCAAGAACACGCGCCCCGCCCGCGCATGGTGCCATCTATCGCCACGCGCCGTTACCAGAACATGAGAAAGGAAAAGGAGAGTGGCCGTACGGCAAAACGCCCGCGAAATGGTCATGGGCATTCCCCAGAGCGTTTAGGCTAGCGCAGATCCTCACAGTGTTTAGGCTAGGGCATCATCAAACTATTATCACCACAAATTCGGTGACACACTGTGTGCCAAGGCTGCTGTGGACATTTATATTGTACCCTTCTTATCACTTTTGCCTTGCCTCGTCAACTCATGAGACATGCTGGCATCACTGGCGATCACAGAGCTCTCATGAGTGCACTCGACGATTTGAGCTTTGCCCAGTGATGACCTTCAAGATTGCATGCTGGCAGATTTGTGCAGTCTCAGAGGCCATGTCACAGTGCACCTGGCAGCATGCATGCTGTATGGCAACAGAGACGAAGAACGCGGTGTGGTTGTCTGCTTCGACTTCTGCCACCATCTTACCAGCCAATCTTACTTGTGCGCATTCCACACCCGATGAGATCGGCAGCCTGGGTGACATTACGCTTCCAGTGGGCTTCGTACGGTGAATCGGCGGTCGAAAACGTGTTTGACTGAGTCGCAGTGATTTGCAGCAATTCACAGCTTTAAAGCGCTGTAATAAACTACACAGTTTGCGCAGAGAAGTTAAGTCAGTCTGTAAATGACCCTTAGGACTTGGTCTAGCAACCCCATGTGTTTGAACAAAATCATGAAAACTATTTCAGGGTCGCTTCAACTTTTGCTTAAAAGTAAGGGGGTGCAAATAAGCAATATTAAAATATATTCAGGGATGACAAGTTGTCACGAATGACATATTTTGCTTATACAGTGTATTACTATAATGTAAGCTGCCGGAGTCGCAAATATCGGCACTACAGTCAAAGCTCAATATATCGAACACGGATATATCGAATTATTGCCTATATCGAACGGTTCCTATATCACGCGGGAAATCGCATGCATTATAGATTTTTTATTTCGAACAAAGTGATGGATATATGAACTATATATATATATATATGTGACGCTATGAAGAATGGGCGACGTGGCCTGGCTCATACGCCATGTTTATTCCATTCTGCACTTCTTCCTTCTCTACTTCTCCTAACCATCACTTCATACGTCACACAATTCCCCCTCCCCCCGAAAGAAAGCATGGATTACGAACAATAAAAAGTAAACAAGGAGAGGCTAAAAAGTCACAAATGTCAAAGTTCACAACT